GAATAAATGTGAATGACCTTCATACTGTGTATACACATGAACTTATCAATTGGGTTAGAAAGGTTACATCTACAGTGGCCCAGCTCCAAAGCAGTTCAAATAGAGCCCTCACAAAAAAGAATCTCAGCCCTGCCTATTCACGTTAAAACAGAGCAATTATTCTTTATGGTTCCTTATTCCATAGTTCATGATTCTCATCTCTCTTGGTATTCACTTCAGTGCTGGACCTAGTGCTTGTCATTCAAGTAAGGAAGGACCTTTGCAGATATGAAATGCAATGCAAATACCAAGCTTCACAACTTTTTTTTTTTTTTTTAACCAGCATTTTAATTTGACTGCTCAGTTAATGTGTGGTTTAACCCCAAAATTATGGCAACCCTGAAAATAGTCTATAACGTTTTATTCTGTCTATTAAAATTAGACTCATATTTTTTTTCTAGTGGACTTCAGTGTTGCACCAAAATAAAACAGATCTGGTGTTGCCACTACAGTTACCACAAACACATAAAAAATCATGCAGAGCCTAAGCACTAAGCAGCATAAATCAGGATGCATAATCACACAGCAGCTGCTCACTGGCAGGAAAGAACCCTGCGAGCAAAATTTGGCCTGGTGATTTGGAACAGGATCCAAACAGATGCCTACACTTCTAAATGGCTAAGACTTGGTTTAATTTTAAAGCATGATGTTAGCTAGATCCAAATCATCGTAACTCTTTACAATTTATTTTGTCTAGGCTGTGGAGTCATAAAAAATAATGCTCAAGTCTCAACTCCCTTTTATTTCAAACCTGGTTTTATCGTTGCCTCCAGTCTTGGGGTCAGAAAAAAAAGGGTGTGTAGTTCCCCAGAAAATGCTCTGGGAATGCAGATACTTCTTGGATATATATGTATCCAGCATACAGGGGTGTCAAAGGGTTTTTGGCACTGCCCAAAAATTCCTGAATTGCTTTTCTGAATTTAAGTGCCTGGTTCCCCCTTGAATGCCAAACATGCACCTCCAGCTCTTCTCCTGGCATCTAGCACTGGGTTTTGAGGAATAGAACAGCAAGAGGCCAGAAGCCTGAAAATGAGCAAAAATTAGCACCTAGCTTTAAATAAGGCTTTTTAGCCCTTTATAGGATTTAGCTCTAGCTTTAGCTCATTCATCAAAAGCAGTTTTTGAAAATGGGACATGGCCGTTTGAAAATCTTAGACATTACTAAGGTCAGGGAGACTGCTGCTCTAAGGGAGCTGAAAGCTTTGGAAGGAAACCAGAGGAGCACAGGGGAAAAGCACTTTAAATACACAGCCCTGTTTTCAGTTACCAGCATGAGCACACTTTTGGGGAGAACAAGTGAATTCCTTTGCAGGAGCTGACCCAAACAGCCCATAGCCTGCTCCAGCACTGACCCTCCGATGGGGAAGAGGCGACCTGCAGGATGTCCCCATCTGGCTCACAACCATCTCCTGCACCGAACAATGCAGAGGGCTCTGCACTGATGGGCAGCTGGACTGGGTGACCTTCTGCACTCCCTCCCAGCCAACACTACATCCTGGATCCTAAAAAGAGCTGGAAATAAGCTTGTTGATTTATATATCTATATGTATGTTCAACACATGCACCAACAACTTGCTACTCCACTGTGCAGGGAGGATGGGGGAAGGGAGCTGATCTCAATATCAGAACCTGGCATCCATCAGATCCCAGGATGCAGACACATGGGTAAGCAGGGTAGCACACTCTTCCAGATAATGACAACAATCTTTTTAGTGTATTAAAAATTCAGCCAGAAAGGTGATAAAGGAGATTTGGGGGTGGGGGGGGAGGAAAGAAAGATCAAAATAATAATAGTTTCAAAGCACTGCACTTATTTTAGACATTCTTACAGCATGTTTCCATAGGAACTGGAACACAAAGGAGCACACTGCAGCAGTGCTCACAAATGTTGTGTGGTTTAGTGGCTTGAAAAGGATTGGTTAAGGGCACCATGACCACTCAGAGTACCAGGCACCTGCTGCCTTTGCTGCACAACAGGATCTTAGCTATGACGTTTTGCAAAATATAGGGAAATAACCTTTTTTCCCAAATTTTTTCCTATCATCCTGTAGGCATGGCTGCTTTCACATCTGTGTATAGCCTCATTCCTAAGCACTCCCCACCCAGATCCATTTCATGTGGGGCATGAAGACAGCAGTGTTTAACCCAGGTTGTGTGGTTGCTGTGGAGGTGGCGTGTCCTAAGGAGTAGCACATGGGTCTGGTTTTTGTATCCAGCTTTAGCACCCACCTGCTGAGTGACCTTGTGCAAGTCACCTCAGGGCAGATCTGCTCCATCTGTCGGCTGCCTGAAATGCATCTCACCCAGCTCTGCAGGTGAGCACTTCTCTGGCCAACAGGACAGCATCTATCCTGCCTGAGACACCCACGCCATGGACAGGTCTCTTGTTCCCAAAGCACACACCCGGTCACATCCAGACACTAAGAAGCCCGTTGCCCACATCTCAACGTGCCACGTGGCAATTGATTATTTTCTCCATTGAAAATTGCCCACTACAAAGTGAGGTCTGTGTTGCAGCTCACCAGAGCAGCATTTAGCTGCATGAAGTGGGTGCTGCATGTCTTGGAGCAAGGCATGGGCATGGGGGTGCTTTTGGTGACCTTGCTAGTGGGACAGCACTGGAGGATATTTACGATGCGGGGAGCCAGACCTGGTGTGGCATCACCTTTAACTCCTCCTGTGTCAGCCTTCTCCATAAGCTGTCCTCAAAACTGAAATATGTTCTTTCTCAGAGGGAAATAATTAGTTGTCTCCAAGTGGCAGCATTAGAAGCAAAGAAACCCAGCCTATTGAATCCAAGCAACAAGAGCCTGGAACTCAGCAGGAGAATTAAGCTATTTAACTGTGTTTCTCAAAGAAAACAAAGATGCTCCAGAGTGTGATGAACTGCTCACCTCACCCTGTGGTGGTGAGCCTAAATGACCAATTGAACTTTAGGTGGTGAAAATGAGACAAAATTCCTCCTACCTCCTGTGCTGTCATTCCTCAATGCACGCAACGGTGCCATGGCAGCAATCCCATTTGTGAAGGATTTCCTCACCAACTTGCGACAAGGGCTGTACAAGCACTGGTTATTAGTACTTATGGATTGAGAAAAAAGTAGAACTTTGTTACTTATGGATTTGAAAACCTCCTAACATATTGAGATATATTAAGGTATAATATATTATAACATTGTATATAATATATTGAGGTATATTGAGACCTGCCTGACTCATAACAGTAAAGGTGGATAATTTTTAACAGACAGGGTAAAACACATTCTTCCTTGGACTTGCCAGGTTTAACTTCACATGCCAGTAAGAAACTAAGCCAAAATGCTGGCCAAATACCTCTGTCCAGAAGTATTATCCAGACTACAGCCAGCAGAATTACACAGAATCACAGAGGTTGGAAGGGACCCACAAGGATCATTGAGTCCTACTCTTAGCTCTTCACAGGACATCTCAGCCCTGATGCTTAATCCCTTGTAACCACCTACAAATATATTTATGCTGTTGTGGAAGTGTGAAGAACTACTTTTGTTTTCAGAGCTGCATTTTGTAAATGAATTCAGTGGTTGCCTACAGCACAGAGGTATTTTATGAACACAATTACAAAAATGCATCTATTTAGATATTTAGATACTCCACATACTGCAATGCTTTTTTCTCATCAAAACAACTTCCACTGTACATATTGCCATAGGAACTCATATTTAATTACAGATTTAACAAAGAAATGTAGATGTAGGGTGTCTGAACCCAGGTCTCATTTCAAATATTACAATTACAGTTTCAGTCAGTGTAAGGATAGAAGCATCTGAGAAGCCCTGACAGCCTCACACTGAAATTCTGTGTTTAAAACCTGATTATTTAAAAGAAGAAAATTCAGATTATTCAATCTCTTTTCACACCTCTCCAACAAAGCAACTTTGGGAAGGTCCATTGAAAGTTTTATTATGTCTGCACCCTGTATTTAAGGATCAGAAGCAGTATGTTACAAATATACGTATTTATGCTTTTTTGCCTGTGAAGTCATACAGTGAGGTAGCAGAAAACATGCTTTAATGCCAATTTTCAAATCTGAGTGAAATTTTATGAGTTAAACCAGTGCTGTCACAGAGACACTAAAGCAGGATTTTTTGCACATCTGCAAGTATTTGCACAACTCCAGATACAAGCACTGAAATTCCCAATGGGGAGTAAAGTCACAAGTCACAGTGAGATGGACTAAACACAGAGAGCAATCTACTTCACAGCCCAAACTAAACAAAACAACACATATAGCAGCAATGAGTACACAGATAGTGTAAAGATATTAGGATTTCCAATACTGCTACTTTTATCTTGGATAACTCAGTCTATAATAAAGCAGAATACAGTGTTCCGTGCTGGATAAGCTGGCTGCTTTGAACTCACCCAAGCATTCAGCTTTCTGTTCTGGGTCCCCTTGTGGGCAAGTCAGATCCAGATCTTCTCTCTCGCATCCAAACTTTGTCTGTTTTTACCTGAGACCACATCTCACTCCAAGAAACCATCGCTTTCAAAAAGAGCACCGATGCCCAGAGTGAGCCCAGCAAGGGTCAGGCTGCAGGACTTCTCTAGGGGCTAAGAACAAGTAGAGATCTGCCAATCTGGCCACCCACTCCTGAAAGCATTTTTCCAGTTTAGCTTTCCCACCGTGAATTCTTGATGCAGAAAAACAATTAAAAAAAAAAAAAAAAGAAAATAAAAGAAAAGGAAAAAAAAAAGGCAATCCAGTAGTTTATCCTCCAGGCTGGAGAGAAGGAAAGAGGCTGCCACAGCAGCTCCTGTTTTGAATGCTTGGCAGGTACACAAGCACAAGGGGGATGATGCTATAGATAAGCATAGACAGAAATAGCTAGAAGGATGAGCTGGCTCAGGGTAGCAGTGGTGAAAGGCAGCAATCCCCCTTCTCCTGTGATTGCATGAAAACTAGCAGCTGACCCACAGACTCACCGAGAGTGTTGGCAGGAGAGGGTCCCCCCAGGCTCTGAGCCTCACACTGGAAATATCCTCCTTGCACAGATCCCCTTCCCCATCTTGGATGCATGCTTTGAAGGCTGCATCTACTCAGCCTGCTTCTGACTCAGAGCGCAAAACCTGCTCGCTGCCTGTCGGGGGTTTGGTGCTGTTCCCAGAATCCTGCCAGGAAGCTGCAGCTCACAGATCCCCCTGCGCCAGCAGGAAAATACAGAAACTGTGGCTCAGAAAATACTGCCAAAGCACCGAACTGAAGTATCTGGGCACCTCATCTCTTCCCCATGAGCAGCCTCACACAGCTCTCCCTACTGCTCGTACCAGCCCACAAGGAGACGAGCACAGAGATGTCACCTGGCAGTTATGCAACTCCACTGCAAGAACAGTTAAATGAGAGAGTTTTACCCAGCTGCCACCATTTAATAACCATGTCTTGCTCACTCCTTTTCTGTATGGCAACAGATTCAATTTTCTTCTAAAATTGGAAAACAGTCTCACCTGAATGTGCCTGCACTGGGGAAGGAAAAGGATAAAAAATCCTGCTTTTGAAAGCTGCTTGAGCAGGAAAAGATTTGTCAGTGCCCCCTTTACACTGTGCAGCATCAATGCCCAGGAACCCAGATCTTTGGCTGTCAGTATGATGGGACACCTGAGAAACTTCCTGGCTTGGAAAGGGTTGAGATGGGCAAGGACACTGAGCTCAGCTAGAGGTGGCAGTCTGGGAAGGGAGACAATCCTCCTCAATCTGAGAAAATAGAGAAAGGGGGAAGCAAAGAAGGGTGAGAGTCAAGAGCATTGCTGCTGTGGTTTCACTGGTGGGGAGCAAGGCTGGTTGAGGGCATGACAAGGTGTGCACCAGAGAAGAGATAAACTACAGAAGACTAGGACTGGGTCACAGACAAGTGAAACTATGCAATACAGCAGAATTCATGAGTGGGGCAAGCAGCCAGGAATGTGAGAACACAACAGAAGGAGGGAACAGGCATGGGAAGAAAGCGATGTCAAGAGAAACAGAAGAAGAATGATTTGAGAAACAAATGAAAAACTCAGCACTTAGAAAGAAAATGAGGAAAAATAAATCACAAACTAACACCAACCTCATTTTAAATAATTTTGTTAATCTGTTGAGCCTGAAAACATCACATTCTGGCACATGCTTCAATTCCCTTGTTACCACTGGGAGATGCATTATTCCAACCACTGAACCACACTCCTGTGTCCAGGAGGGATTCCTTGCCTCCTTCAGAGCAAGGGGACAGAGGACCTCTAGCACAGTGTTGATGGTGAGGCAAACAGGAGTCAACTCCCATGCCACCACTACATCAACCTAGTGGAGGGAGATGTGGGGCCAAACACTGCTATTATGGGAGAGCTGCTGCCTTGCTCACCAGCTGCCAGCACTGCCAGCTCAGGTTGCTGGAGGAAACCTCGTAGGCTATAGCTACCCCATTAAATTAGCCATTCCCAAGTAGCTTCCTGGGAATAAGGTCACCTTCCAAGATAGGACTGAAATGGGTGACTGCATGCAAGCTGCCTGATGGGGATATGTCCTGACCCTCCAACTCCTGAAAATAGGCCTGGGAACCCACTGGGACAGGGCTGCCTGGCAGGGGTCTAATTCAGGCCAGGAACTGCTCCAGCAGCTCCCCAGTGTCAGCAGACAGGCTCTCCTTGGGGCTTGGCAGTGCTCTTTGCTAATAGAGACAAACCTGTAGCTTAACATAATACTGCAGTTGGTCACAGAAAACCCATTATTTTTTCATCCCGCTTCATATGTCTTGACTACCCTGGAAAATCAGAAAAAAACAGTATGTTTGTCATGGTAGGAAAACTCAGGAACCTAAAATAAATGGCTTTTGAGATAGGGCTGATAAAAGAAAAACCCTTAGGTTCAGAAAGATAAAACCTACAAATGACAGCAGAGATACAAAGGGAAACCAAAATTTGATGGGAGAAAAAACCAACAGCGAGGGATAGCTTTAAACAATTTGTGCCAAGGCAGAGTCTTCAGGCACATTTATTTTCTGTTTTCCGTGAAGGAAATCATCATTGTTATAAAAATTACTGCACGTTTTTTTGATCATGTTGTTTTGTTAGATAAAAACCAATGTTGCCTGACAGTGCTCTGGCAGTAGTACTAGAGCACCCACTGTAGTTTAAATTAAAGCTTTTCAAACTCATTAAACAAAGTATATGTGGACCATTAAAATAAAAAGGATATTTCAAAAACTCACAAGGTGTAAACTGTTCCTTCCTGAAACATTCCTGTCAGCTAGGGTTGCCTCCTTTCAAATTAATGGAGAAGTAAGCGTGAAAAGCAGGTAGCTGATCTAAAGAAACTGAGCAGGAAATGTTTTGGCAGTTGATTGGAGTAAGTACTTTGTATCAGGCAGCTGATGATTTCAGACCTGCCTTGTGTTTTTTGCACTGCTTTGAAAATAAGGTGAACTGCTACCACGTGCTCTTTGTCAAAGAGGAGAACACAGTGGAAGTATTTACAGTTTGATATTTACCGTTTAAATGATGGGTAAGAAAACAAGAACAGTAACAGATGGGCTTCTTTTAACTGAATTTAAGTTATTTAGAGCTACTTCTGGGTAAAAACAAACAACCAACACACACACCAAAAAGCAAACACAATATGCCTTCCTGCTACAAATTATTAATCTGAGATTTAACATCTACATTTGTTGAAATAAAAGTGGAGTCCAGTTTTTAAAGTATATGATTGATAAAATTTAGTGCCCCATTTTTAACTTGCAAAGGTGTTGAAGGAGCTATTTTATTTGCCAAGAGTTCTAAAATATATCTTTATCCTTTCACTGGGATTTGGCTGCTGATTATTTTCACAGCTAAAAACCTGCCTTGTATGTTTGATCTTCCTCACCGGCACTCCAAGCGAAAAAACTGTCTTAAGGTCTTTATTCTACCAGGAATCAACACTTTTGAAAGCTAACTGGGAATCTCCTTATAGGCAACAATACACATACAGCTTATTTCCCAGTACAGTTTTAGGAGGAGACTCTTCCACCTGAGTTAACATTATATAAGGTCTTGCACAAAGACCACTGAGTCAGTTCACCTCTAGGAAATAAAGCGGTGACAGATACCAGCACTCCTCATCAGTCAAGCCAGCAACAGCCAAAAAAACCCCATACAAACCCTTTTACAACCAAAAAGGGATATCCCCAAAAATCAGATACAAGAACACCATGAACCCAAGCAGCTCCCAAGAGCAGATGCAACAGCACTAGAAATAAAAAACTAAAATGTTTTCTTTTCCCAAGAGGAACTTGTGTGTCATGATGTGCTGGTTGTGGCTGGTATAGAATTAATTTCCTTCACAGTAGCTGGACTGGGTTTTTGATTTGTGCTGAGAAAAATAAAGTGTTTGTAATTCAGGGATGTTTTGGTTGCCTTTTCTGCCTCTCACCCCACCCCACCAGCAAGTGGAGTTGGGCAGGGACACAGCCAGGACAGCTGACCCCAGCTGACCAAAGGGATATCCGAGACTGTGTGATGGGGGGGGGGAATATTTGGAGTGATGGGGTTTGTCTTCCCAAGTCACAGTTAGGTGTGATTGAGCCCCTGCTCTCCTTGAAATGGCTGAATATCAACCTGCCCGGGGGGAGTGGTGATTTTAATTTCTTGTTTTTCTTTGCATGAACAGCTCTTGCTTTCTCTATCAAACTGTCTTTATCTCAACCCACAAATTTTCTCATTTTCACTCCTCAGATTCTCTCCCCAGTCCTGCTGGTGGGGAATGCATGATGGGCTGACTCGAGGCTAAACCATGACAAAAAAATATGAAATTCTACAGCTTAAAGGAGATTTTTGAGTTTCGTTGTTTGAGGGTTGTTTTTTTTTAAATCATAGCTTCAAAAAAAATCATCACTGACTTGCTTCAGAAATAAGCATATTTTAGCTCAATAGACTTGTGTATTTATCCTTTGTCTGTATTGAAAGCATTCACATTCAGTTACTGTGTAGCACAGCCTGTACAAGCAGCAAGTTAAGATCACCATGAGAATCAGTTTTCCTCTTACATCAATACATAATTCCCATTACAGAATAGAAACTGCCTAGGAGAGAATTGTCCATGCTTCATTTTAGCATGCAATTTTAGAACAGTTTTTTGGGGAGTGGATTTTTTTAATTTGCCTTTGGTGTTCTGTATGATCTACCATGTTGAAATAATAGAGATGAAAATCCTCCTTGAGCTGCAGAATTGTCAAAGCTTTTGACAATTTTGAGGTCCAGAAGTGTTCCTTGACTGCCACATACACATTCATCTCTGCGTTTTCTGAGGAACCTGCCAGCTAGGGTTAGCTCACTGCCTGCCTTTTACTGTATAAAAATGCTTGTCACTGGGGTGTTCCATGTTTTAATCATCATTCTATAAAGGAATTTGAAAGTGTTTAAAGCAGTTGCCCTCTCGGATCAGAGCTGAAGCCCATCTGGCTTCTCATCCTATGTCCAGTAGCAGTATAAACCATACCTCACAGGATGATTTAAGAGTCATGCAGAGAGCATAGAAAGAACAAACATTCCCCACATCTATGACCCCATAGCCTCAGATCCAGCCATTACAGACCAAATTACCTCTTATAGGTAAGAGTTTACTTTATGTCCAAGTACATCCTAAATTATTACAGTTTATATTCATGACCTCTCTCCTTTTTAACTTCCTGGCCAGTTTCAAGCAACTGTGATGGAAGTGCTGAATTCTCACAAGTTTTAGGAAAGTTGGTGATCAGGGAGTAGAGCTGATGAAAGCCTGGAAAGCAGCTTTAACTCCATATGACAGCAGAAAGTCTTCATGGGAAAATTATACCTCAATGATGAGAAAGCTGCAAATGGAGTAAGTATTTTATGATACCCCAAGGAATTCATCTCTTCATCACAGTTTCTCTCCCATGGTGACTTCTATTGCCTAATGAGGTGCTACCGTGACTGATGTTTCCACAGCAATTCCAGCATCACTAAGGACTCTGCCCTGTGTGGCTTCTCTGTACAAAAGGGCTTGGTACAATTCAGTAAAAAGTGAATTAATCATGAGACAAATTCAATAGAAACCAAGCTTCAGTAGTTCTGCTAGTTTTGTGACCATCAGCATAATTCTGTGGTCTTGAAACCCATAAAATTATAATTTTTTAAAAATTCTACTAATTTTTGGTATACAGTGTTT